ACTGGAGGTGCTCGGGGGTCCCTATGGGATGCCGGGATTGAACCCGGGTCAGTTGTGTGCAAGGCAAATGCCCTCCCCACTGTACTAGACTTCTGGCCCCAAGGCCCAAAACTTAAAGAAAAATCCTTGCTGGGGTTTCCCCATCCCTGGCACCTTGTCAGCCTCGTGGGTCTGCACACGGCTTGTGCGACTGCCTCGAGTGGCCAGTGACAAGGGCGCCCGCCTGGCCTCCTGCTCCCCTGGGCTGCTCTGTGCCCGGTGTTCCCAGCCCTGCAGCTTTCAACTCCTGCCCTGTGTTCACTCCTCCTTTCTGTGGTGTCCCCCTCCTCTCTCGGTGGCCCTCCCCCTGGGGTCACCCCCCTTCCTGCGTGGTGCTGGGACAGCAGAGCTGCCGGGTTTGTGCCGGCTTTGTGCCAGGTGCACGGTTGACTCCAGGGGCTTGGACTCACGACCTCCAACTTGTGAGGCAGTGCTCAAAACCCCCTCTCGTACATTCCTCCCCTCCAAGCTGAAGGAACGGACTTGACCCACGTTCAGGCTCACACTTCTGCTTCCTGCCGAATCACTGCCGGCCGCTAGCAGGCCAGGACCCGTGTGCCACGCCTGTGTGAAGCAGGGACGTTCCAGGGCGTAAGCCTGCTAGCGTCTTTGTCATGGACACACGTGGTCCCATCACAGGATTTAGGGTCAGGGTCCAAACACAGGAGCATGGGGGTGGGGGGATGAGGGCTTGTTCAGGCCGGAGACTCTACTAGGCTCACACACGGCACTGAGTGCTCAAGTCTCAGGGAGACAGTGAGGCTCAAACACATTTTCTTTCGCGCTGTTTTTTCTTTTTCTTTGGCTTTTTGGGTCACAGTGATGCTCAGGAATTACTCCTGGCAGTGCTCAGGACTGGTGATCGAATCTTGGTCAGCCGTGAGCAAGGCAAACCCCTCCCCACTGTGCTCTCACTCCAGCCCCTCCTTTTGCATCTTTTTTCTGTTTTTTCAGAATTGATTGATTTTCAAGTAGCGTTTGCTGGCCCTATCTTTCTCTGTAGAGTCCCTTGTTGCACACTGTGTTTCGTGGGCACCTTGACATGAAGACTTGGCGCTTGCCTGGTGCATGACTGACCCCATAGTTCCCCTGAGGACCGCCAGGAGTGATTCCCAAGTGCAGACACAGGAGTAACCCTGAGCACTGCCAAGTGTCCCAAAAAACAAAAGGAAAGAAAGAAAATAGGTATCCTTGCCTGGAAGGGTAGCCCAGGGCCAAAGCCTGCCTTGCCTGTGGCTGACCCCACCCCACCCTGTACGTCCCTTCCCACCCAGGTCCTGCCAGGATGAGCTCCCATGACTGGATCAGAGTCAGCCCTGAGCACCATCAGGTGTCCCGTCCTCAGCCCCCAGGTTAGGTCACTCCGCCCTCCCCACCTCCCCCCCACTGCCCAGTTCCAGCTCACTCATCCTCGAGGGGACCCGCACTCATTCAGCTTGTGCTCCCATCCGGAGCAGGCCAGGCCATACTCCTCTGTACAGCTCTCAGGTCTTAGTGGGCTGGGCCACTCCCTGGACACGATGCGGCCGGTGTTGCTCACAGCACTGGGGTCACAGAGAGCAGGGCTCTCAGGGTCAGGCTCAGGGCCTCTGCCCTGTTGCTCTGCCCGCCCCCGCCTGCCCCCCCCCCTCACAGATTTCCTGGCCCGGTTCCTGAGGAGGGCCCTGGGCAGGGTCACTGGCTCCAGGTCCCACTCGGGGGATGCTGAATGACCTCAGTTGGAGATCTGTAACTGACAAACATTTGTCAAAAGTTTTCTGAAACCACCCGGGGGTCCAGAACTGGGCCCCGCAGGGACCAGAGGCTCCTTGGCCACGTAGTGCTGACATCTGCAGGGCAGCCCTCCGGAGCCTCAGCCAGACACTGGCGTCACGAAGGGTGGCGCCTGCCCATTTAAGAAGGGCCCATGATGCCCTCCTCCTTGCTGAATTCTACTTCTACCTCAGAACATTCTAGACTCCAACTGCCATTTTCAGTCTCTCCACGAGACTGGCACGAGCCTGTTTGGCAGAGCTCAGTACTGAAGCTGCGAGTGCAGTGTGACACAGGTGAATCTGAGTCTCTGGGCTTTCTGCCCGCGTGCGGGCGGCTTTTTTCTCTAACAGTTCTTTAGTGTATGATAGTTTTTAATCTTTAGTTAGTTTAAGTTTTTTTACTAGTTATATATATATTTTTTTGGGGTGGGCTGGGGGTGGGGTGGGGGTGGGGTGGGGTGGGGTGGCCATACCTGGCTGTGCCCAGGGGTGACCCTGGCCGGCTAACGTCCCTGTGCTGACGGAGATCGAACCCAGGACAACTGGATATAAGGCAAGTGCCCTCCCCACTCTCCTGCCTCTCTGCCCCTTGTGGACTTCTCTATTGAAATATGGAATGACTCTGAAGTCAGTGGGCCCTCATGGGGGACTGATGAGAAGCACAGGAGAAGATATCACTCCCCCGGGACTGGCTGGAGCGCTGGCACTGCTGAGTGCGATGAGCCCCGCCAGCCCCATGACGCCCACTAGGCCTTCCTGGGGTCTTGGCCCGGAGTGAGGGGTTGTCCTTTTCAGGGAAAGGGAGTCGATCCTCGACCTCCTCAGGCCCCCGGGCCTTTGTCCTTCTTACAGAAAGGCATTTCAGGAGATGAGCATGAAGCAGAAACAATTTATTTGGAGGCCTTTAGGAAGGGGAAGGAGGGAGGGAGTAACACGCTTGACAGAGAGTGAGGCTTCTCCAGAGGTGCAGAAAGCCACTGAACATGTTATGTTGCTAGGTTGCATTCGGTCCGAAAGTCCACACCTCAGGAGGGGAGAAGCCCGTGACACGACCAACCTCGTAGGCAAGAGCAGTACCTGGGCTCGGGCACACATGAACGCCCTCCCTTGGTTCAAGGTGGCTAATCTAGGGTTTTCCCCAGGCTGCCTCTTGTGGGAGTTTCTAGCTACCTAGAGTCCGTTGCTAGGGTGGTTGCCAACGGGGTAGAGTTGAGTGGTCCATGGTCCTCTTAGAAATTCCTTCCCTGGCCTTTGTTCCTATTCCCTCGGGGGTCCAGCCTGCTCTGGGCCTCCTAATGTGGGTTAATTTTGACCAGACTTTGGGTCCCGTGCCCTCAGATGGTCTTTTGGTGGCCATGAAGTTTTGTTGACTTCCTCAGAGTTCCATTGCCATGGGGACGCTTCCCCCATCTACCTGTCTGCCTCAGTTCTGTGGGTTAAGAAATGGAGTTAATACTGGCTTGTGGTTATCCAACCTAGGCAGCATCACAAGGAACGAAGGAAAGGCCGAAACCTACTTCGCTCCCCTTTGGCACAATTTTTTTTTTCTTTTTGGGTCACACCTGGTGATGCACAGGGTTTACTCTTGGGTCTGCACTCGGGAATCACTCCTGGCAGTGCTTAGAGGACCATATGGGATGCTGGGAATCGAACCTGGGTCGGCTGCGTGCAAGGCAAATGCCCTTCCCACTGTGCTATCGCTCTCCAGCCCCCGTTTGGCGCAGTCTTGCTGGGCCCTTTTCCCAGGCAGTTCTCAGCCCATAGAAAAAAGTGTGCCTGTTGCTTGCCTTAGCTTCTACGTGTAACCCCGGGCCTCTCACACACACACATACGCACACACGCACACACAAGACCAGCCATCACTGCTGAGTCGCCTCCCGGCTAGTCAGTGTCTGGACGGGGAGGTGGTCAGTGACACTCGCGGTGCTCAGGGATGATTTCTGGCTCCTGAATGTGTTTGGTGGTGGGAATGATGCCAGGGAGGGTGTGAAGGTCAGCTGCCAGCAGGGCAAGTACCTGTCCCCTCTGCTCTCTGGCCCCGAATCGGCAGTTGTTTGTTTGTCTGTTTTGGATTGAGTTTTTGCGCAGGAATGACACTTGGTGGGCTCAGGGGGCTGTGCGGGATACTGGGGGTCGCACTCGGGGTGGCGAGTGCCAGACTGGCAGCTCTCTGGGCTCCGGAAGCTGCTGTGGTCGCTCACCTGAGACAGACTCTCTCCTCTGCTCCTCAGAGATTTAGTCCTGAGAACGAGTGTGCCTCAGAAGGCCCCACAGTGGGCTCGATGGTCGGCGCCTGGTAGTGGCCGCGGCAGCGTCTGACCGCCTGACCATGAGTCTGCTGAGGCCCAGCGGGCTGAAGGCTCCCACCAAGATCCTCAAGCATGGGAGCTGGGCCGTGAAGGCACCCTCGGCCAGTAAGTGCGCTCAGCCCAGGCCAGGGGAGACTCATTCCTACCCGGGAACCCCATCCCGAGTCCTCGCCCGGGAAGGACTTGCTGAGCTGTAGACACGTTCGTGGCTCTGGGGACAGCTCTCACACACGAGTGTCACGTTCTGTGAGTTTAGTGTCACGGCAACCGGTGACAGCTGAGGCGACCAACCCGCTCCCTTCTAACTGCTAGCTCCCTTGCCCGGGCTTGGGGACAGGCTTAGGGAGGTGGACTCACCTGGACTAGAGGGCCTCATTGCCGGCCAAAGTCACAGTACAGTGGGGAGGGCAACTGGCACCCCATGTGACTCTCCACCCTCAACCTCACCATGAGTAACCCTGAACGGAGAACCAGAAATAGGCCCTGAGCACTGGCTGGGGTGCTCCCCCCCCCCAAGAAAAACAAATGGGCCAGTGGATACAGCAGAAATAAGACACTTGGTTCCAGCTTTCACCTGGCTTGGTCCGTAGCATCACGGGGTGTGTCCAAAGATTTCCCCTGAGCTGCCCAAAGTATGACTCCGGCCTGGGATGCTGTGGTTGGTGAGCACATCCCCTTCACGGCAGGCCTGGCCAGGCTTCACCACAAGCAGCCCCCGTCATTGGCTGGGAGTATCCCGAGCACTGCTGGGTGTCCCTCTCCCCCAACCACACTTTAACTGGACCTGCACAGGCCCTTCCTGTCCCGTCTGACCCTTTTGACCCTTTCTGCTGTTCCAGCGGCTGCTCCCGTTGAGAAGACCGTGCCTGGGGAGAAAACCCCCAGCGCCCCCTCCTCGGAGATGCAGGAGGAGTTTGTGGGCGACTTCCAGGTCGGGGAACGAGTCTGGGTGAACGGGAACAAGCCTGGATTCATCCAGTTCCTCGGGGAGACCCAGTTTGCCCCTGGTCAGTGGGCCGGGATCGTCTTGGATGAGCCCATCGGCAAGAACAATGGCTCGGTGGCGGGTGTGCGCTACTTCCAGTGTGAGCCGCTGAAGGGCATCTTCACCCGGCCGTCCAAGCTGAGTAGGAGCTTCCAGGCGGACGATGAGACCAACTGCCGGCAGCCAGCGCCTGCCGCCTGGGCCACCCCGCCCCTGTCGGCCTCCCCGGCCCCTGCCGGCACCACGAAGGTGCCCCAGTCCCCCGCGAAGGAGTCACCGGCCACCCCTCACATCAGCAGCCTGACCAGGACAGCCAGCGAGTCCATCTCCAACCTCTCTGAGGCCGGCTCCCTCAAGAAAGGGGAGCGGGAGCTGAAGCTCGGGGACCAGGTGCTGGTGAGTGCCAAGGGCAGCGGTCGCGGGTGGCTGTCCATCAACCTGTCTGGTTCATCAGCTCCTCCAGACTCGCGGTTTGGGTGGAAGCACGAGCAGCCGGGACGCCTGGTCCTGCAGTTTCCAGCGTGATGGATGCGTGCGGGGATGCTGCCAGTTTACCAGTTTAGCCAAAACAGGGTGGAGGGGTCATGCCGTGGGGAGGGGTCATGCTTTGCACGCCTCTGACCCGGGGTTTAAGTCTTGGTCCCATGTACAGTCCCCCAAGCACATCCCGGAGTGATCCGTGAGCACCAAGCCAAGAGTAAGCCCTGAGCACTCTGAATGTGACTCAAAAACAAACCAATGAACAAAGTTGGAAATCGGTTCTATTTCTCTGGTTTTCGATGTTTTTGCTTGGGGCGTCACAGGGTGGTCGCACACAAAGCACCCTTCCCCCGGTGCTCCAGCCCTGTTTGTCAGCATTCCTGTCAGTGTCCAGCACTGTGATTCTGTTTTGCTCTGTGTCCCGGGAGCCAAGCGTCAAGCCAAGGCATAGTGAAGGAGAACTGGAAGATCGAACTCTGCTAAGATACGAGAACAGTCATTTTCCTTTTGCTGGTTTCTGGCTTAATTGTTCTCCAGCGGTGGGGTTGCCAGTGCTCCGCTCCCACACCCAAGGGGCAGCGACCCCCTCGCCACACCAGGTGGCTGGCCTGGGTCAGAGATTCCCGGGGGTGTGGTCAGCCAGGCCACCGATGACAGCGAGTGGGTGTGAATGTCGCTGCCTTGCATGGACACTGAGCAGCAGCGTCTGCTCACCCTGTAGGGGTTGCGGGGGGAAATGGCACCTTAACCTTTGGGGTTTCTTCAGGAAATCCCGACTCTGAAGCCAGAATGTTCGTTTGCGGGGGTGGGGGCACTGTGCGCAGTCCAGGGTGCCTGACCCATGTCCCTTCATCCCTCCGGCAGGTGGGAGGCATGGAGGCCGGTGTGGTGCGCTTCCTCGGGGAGACGGACTTCGCCAAGGGGGATTGGTGCGGCGTAGAGCTGGACAAGCCACTGGGCAAGAACGATGGTGCCGTGGCCGGAACGAGGTGGGTCCCCCTGCCCCCCCAGACAGCCTGGGGCCATGCACGGTGCCCGGGAGGCGCTGAGGGGACTGCAGGCCACTTCACTTGGTTCTTAGGCGGGGCCACTTCCAGTGGCACTCGGGGACCCTGCAGGGATGTGGGGACAGCCCAGGGCTCCCACATGCAGCTGTGCTCTGGCCACAGGAACCCCTCGGGCCTGCTGTCGCCCTTCAGATGCCGGGGAGGCTGCTTGGAATTGCCCTTGGTTTGCGTGGTGGGGGTGGGCGGCGTGGGAGAGAGTGTGGGTGTGAATGTATGAGGGAGTGTGTATGTGAGCGTGTGAGTGTGGGGCTTTGAGTGTTGGTGGGGGCGTGGGCATGAGAGTGTTGGTGGGGGTGTGAGCGTGTTTGTGGGGGAGTGAAGAGCGTGTCAGTGTTGGTTTGAGAGTGTGCAAATGTTGGTTGGGGTGTGCGTGTGTGAGACTGTGGGGCTGTGGGTGTGTGGGAGTGTTGGCTGGGGTGTGAGTGTGAGTGTGTGTTTGTTTGGGTGTGAGTATGAGTGTTTCTGGGGAGTGAGTGTGTGTGAGTGAGGGGCTGTGGACATGTGGGAGTGTCTGTTGGGGTGTGAGTGTGTGTGTTTGATGGGTGGGAGTGTGAGAGTATGGGAGTGTTGGTTGGGGGTGAGTGTGTTTGTTGGGCTGTGAGAGTGTGGAAGTGTGGGAGTGTTGGTTGGGGTGTGAGTGTAAGTGTGTGTTGGTTGTGGTGTTTATGTGTGGGAGTGTTGGTTAGGGTGTGTGTGTTTGTTGGGTTGTGAGTGTGGGCTGGTGGAGGGTATGAAGTTTGTTGGGGAGTGAGTGTGAGCGTGGCGCTGTGGAAATGTGGGAGTGTTGGTTGGGGTGTGTGTGTGAGTGTGTTTGTCGGGATGTGAGTGTGTGGGCATGTGGGGCTGTGGGAGCGTGTTCGTTTGTGGGGGTGTGAGACTGTGGGACTCAGTGGACTTCTGGGTCGGCGCTTGTGTCTCTTGCCGAAGGTGTTTTTGTCCCCCCCTCCTCGTTGTCCGCAGGTACTTCCAGTGTCAGCCCAAGTATGGCTTGTTTGCTCCCATTCACAAAGTCACCAAGATCGGCTTCCCGTCCACGACGCCGGCCAAGGGCAAGGTGGCCGCCGTGAGGCGTGTGATGGCCACCACCCCCGCCAGCCTGAAGCGCAGCCCTTCGGCCTCCTCGTTCAGCTCCGTCAGCTCCGGGGCCTCATTCGAGAGCAGCAGATCCGGCCGCACGGGACTAGTAAGCAGCCCCCTACCACTGCGGGGTGCTCGGGCCCCCACAGACTCCCACAGTCCCAGGGGCGAGAGGCGGAGCAGGAGCACGTGGGCTGAGCAGCTCCGGGTGGCAGGCGAGTGGCTTCCCAGCCACCACCAGTGACAGGAGCAGGGATGGGCCTTTCCTGGGGTGCTCAGGGCTCCTCTCTGGCCTCAGGCCACCTTAGGGATGAAGTGGGGTAGCTGAAGGGGGCGCTGAGGGTCAGAGCAGGGCCCAGAGACTCTGGGGAACGCTTGGCGCTTCGTCTTCTTCTTTGCTCTCTCTGTCTCTCCCTGCTCCCTCCTGTCCCTCTGCACCCCTGTCGACATGCAGAGTGGCCTGGACTTCTGTCCATTGCGGGGCCGCAAGTCAAAGCTGGGGCCTCGTGGCTTCTCCCCTCACGTCTATCTGAGTCATAAACACTAAAGTGTGTCCGAATATGCAAGGGTATCCTGAGATATTGTCCACAGGGAAACGGGCCCACGATGGAGAGGGTGTCCCGGGGGGGCTGGCTTTGCTGGGGGCTGCGCTTCCTGCCGCCGCCTCTGCTCCGTGCATTGACCTTCGATACGGAAGAGGAGGGAGTGAGTGTGTGTGCAACAGAAGATACAAAACAGATGTCACGGGAACGGGAGCCAGGAGGCCACGCGCCGTGGGCACAGGCCTGGGGCCAGTCCTGTCTTGCTTGGTTTTGTTTTTCTGCTTGACTGTGGGCCATACCCTACAGTGCTTCAAGGGGCCGTTTGCAGTGCTGGGGTTGTGCCGGGGCCTCCCACCTCCAAGCAAGAACCCTACGCCTGAGACGTATCTCCAGCCTCCCCACGCTGTCTTGTTTTGTTCTCTTTTGGGGTCACACTTGGCAGAGCTCAGGGCTTTCTCCCACCTCTGTGCTCGGGATTATTCCTGGCGGGCCTCCGGGATTGAGCCTGGGCAGCACTGGGGCTTCGCTCTCCAGCTCTTTGGCCCCTGCATTGCATATCTTTATGCAGGGTGGAGCTCACTCCTAAACTGAACATCACCGTTAGCGTCTATGACAGGAATATAAAAAGATTCTGTGTGACTTCACGGAAGTATACCTCGACAACATAATTCCATAAGTGCACACACAAGCGTTCATACACACAGTCACTCATACATGTACACGTAGTGCATACCGTATATACACAGGCTTATGGGTATACACACACAGGCACATACATGCATAAACACAACGCTCACTTGCACACAGGTGCGTGTAGACATGCCCACTGGAACATACATGCACACATACATACATGCACACAGGTCCGTGCGTGACCTGTGGAGGCCTCCCGGGTTCATCTGTTGGCTGAGTTGCTCTTCTGAGGTACCAGGCTCCCACAGAGGGTCTGGCCTTGCTGGGATGGAGCCTGGGGCCTTACACACATGCGCCGGGCAGAGGCTTTGGCATCAGCATCCTGAGTTCAGCTCGTGGCCCCGACCTTGCCCAGCCCCTCAGCGCGCGCCTCCCCCCATGCCAGGGGTGCTGCTTTCTCCCTGCTCCGGCGCCTGAACCTCACAGTCTCGTCTCCATGGTTGGCTGAAAGAAGCCCAGCGCTCCTGTGCTGGTTTCCTCAGGGAGCTGTCTCGGGCCCAGGAAGCACATGCGTCTGGCCTGCCCCTCCCGCTCAGGTCAGGAGGCTCAGGGAACACCGCTGCCCGCCTCTCCTAGTTTTTATTTTTGCTCTTTGGGATTCACATGGCAGTGCTCAGGGACTCCAGGCGTGGTGCTTGGGGGCTACTCCCGGTGGAGGGGGGTTGAGCCCGGGTCTTGGTGTTAGACCCCCAAGGCTGCCAAGCTCTTCCCAGCCACCCCTTGAAATCCGAGTTGACTGCAGTTCCCGGGAGCACTGCACATGGCTGGCCCGAGAGCTCGTGTGCTCCTAGAAATTTTAGTTATTATTTTGTTTTGGAGCCACACCCAGGGGTGCTCAGGGCTTATTCCTGGCTCTCTGCTTGGGGGGTGGGGTCACTCCTGATGGTGCTGGATCTTGAACCTCTGCAAGCACCTTCCCCCACCCCCCCCAACAGACTCTTTGGCCCTGGGGACGGCATTTAATCGGACCAGATATACTTTAAGTGTATCGGGAAATCACGGCCAGGTCCTTACGCAGAGGCAAGGATGATCCTGCTCTCCGGACAATACCAGGTGGCTCGAGAGCTCCCAGCAGGCAAAGCAGCAGAGGACAGACTGGGCCCTGTTGGGCCCGTCGGTCAGGAGGCGTTTGGCAGCAGCTCAGACGATACGGGGAAGCAGCAAGAGAACCTGCGGCTGGACCGCAGCAGGGCGATAGAACAGGGATGGCCGGGCAGGAGCGGAAGTCCTGGCCACCCTTGCCGCAGCCCCCGCCACCGTGTGCCCGAAAAATGAAGATCAGGTCCCGCCTTGTCCCCTCCTGCAGGGGCCGTTGTGCAGAGAGGGATCTGGGTCTGCAGAGCGACCATGAGCGACCACGAGCCCAGGATAGAACGGACAGGACCCCCGGTCCCCGCAGCCCTTCAGCCCACTCCCCTCCCCTCCTCACTGTCTTTGCCTCTTCTCTCCTTCCCTTTGTGCTTGGTCTTTCCCTGAGCTGCCCTTGCTGTCCTGCTCGCTGGGCGTGAGCCCTCACACATTCTCACCCACCACTTTTTCCTTATTTTTCCCTGGACTTTGGCCATGCCCCAGCAATATTCAGGACTTACTCCGGACTCTGCACTCCGGAGTCACTCCTGGTGGGCTCGGGACCCTCTGCGGTGGGTACCTGTTATCCAACTCAGGTCAGCGGCGTGCAAGGCCAGAGCCTTTCCTGCAACTTTATCATTCTAGCCTCTCATCCCCCATTTTCGAAGGCAGATGGCACAGGGGTCTTTTATAGGGTCACACCCAGTGACCCTCGGGGGCACGGGGCCATTCCCAGAGACTAGAGTCTCTGGTTACTGCTATTCAGGCATGGGGCGGGTGCCCAGGAGAGCGAGGTGAGCTGGAAGGAAGAGGAAGAGAGAAGGGACAGGCTGCCCAGGGAGACACTGACGGACCTGCAAGGCTGAAGATGCTAGAGCTGGCCTCAAGATCAAGCCAAGGGCGCAGCCTTAAGAAAGCTCAGGCCAGAGCAGGCTGTGGAGGGGGCTGCCTCCGGCTCTGCAGAAGAGTCTCTGGATTCCCACGAGGCCCGAGGTCAGTGGAGCCCAGGTCCCGTCCAAGGATCTTCGGGAAGGTTTCAAGACGTTTCTGCTAAGAGTCGCTGGCCCATATGCAAGGATGCAGCACTGCTCCATGTGCTTTGCCGAGGATCACCGCGTGCATGCCCGTGTCAGCCGCCCCCATCCCCTTCATGTCTCTTTTTCCTTTGTAATTGCCAGAAACTTCCTCCACTATGCCCACAAGATCTCCAGCACCACCGCCCTCCAGGAGGCGCTGAAGGAGAAGCCGCAGCACATTGAGAAGCTGCTGGCTGAGCGGGACCTGGAGCGGGCGGAGGTGGCCATGGCCACAAGCCACGTGGGGGAGATAGAGCAGGAGTTGGCCCTGGCCGGTGCGGGCACGACCAGGTGACGTCTGTGCAGATAGCAGTGCCGGGGCCGAGAGACGCCTGCGGTAGAGGCTGGGCGTGAGCTTGGTGCAGGCGGTGCAGGGTGAGGCGGTGGGTCCCTGTCTGCCGTCGTTGCGGTGGCGTCCGGCACGTGGTTTGATCGCATGCTCCTTCTACTCGCTCCGTGGGGGTATAGGGAGTGCCGAGTTGTCCGCGCCGGTGCTTTTGTGGTGTGGTTCCCCTCTGGCCTTCCAGAAACACCGCAGCTTAGGTGGGAGATGCGTTCAGCTTGCCGCGGTGACAGGTGGCGGTGCCAGCCCACAGAGGGTTGTCGGGGGCAGGCGAGGCCACTCACGCACCGTTGCTTCTACAGCACATTCTGGAGCTGGAGGCCAAGAACGACGAGCTGCGGGCCATGTTGGAAGCAACCGACTGGGAGAAGGTGGAGCTGCTGAAACAGCTGGAGGAGGAGAAGAGGTGAGGCCGTGCCCGGAGCTGGGGGCTCCCTCGGGTGGGGCACTCCTGGCCTTCCAGGGCTGTGAGAACCAGAAACCAACGGGTGCCCAGTCTGAGCACGGCCTCACCGGGAGGGCTGCGGGGGGGAGCTCAGTGGAGCCAAGCCACCCCCGGCCCTCCCTGCTGTGTCCACCTGGCCTGGTATTCAGGAGGCCTGTGCTGGGTGGCAAGGAACTGTCCTAACCCAGTTGGGCCCTCTGGGAATCCCTGTGGTTAAGTCCCAGTCGGGAGGAAACCCACAGTACCCATGGGGCACGACAGCAGACAGACAGGGCTCAGACTAGGCTGCAGACAGACAGACACGGGGCTCAGACCGGGCTGCAGACAGGCGGACGCGGGGCTCAGGCCTGGCTGCAGACAGATGGACACGGGGTGCTAGCCGAGACTGCCTTTTCAGATGGGCTCCCGGCAGTGTGGTGCCCAGGGGCACTGCCAGTGCCTGGCTCAGCTCCTCAGCTCCACATGCCGACTCGACACGTCCCCTGGGAGCCCCTCCGCCCGCCCCTGCCCCCGAGTCGTTGGCTGCTTCTCCCTTAGGGGCTCAGTTGTTGTCCCAATGTGGGGACAGGCGCTGGCTGCGAGGGACTGGCATGCGCCGCGGGTCAGTTTTTAACCACCTCTGTTAGCTGCGAGGCAGAAAGGGTTGATATGACACTGCACCTGGCGTTTGCTCGGCCTAGCTTCCTCCTGTAGCCTGTGGGTCCCACCCAGTGTTCGAAGCTGAGGGGACTCGCTGACTTTCTTTTTTTTTCTTTTTGGGTCAACCTAGCAATGCTCAGGGGTTACTCCTGCCTCAGCACTCAGGAATTACTCCAGGCATTGCTCTGGGGTCCATAGTGGTATGCTGGGAATTGAACCCGGGTCGGCCACGTGCAAGACAAACGCCCTGCCTGCTGTACTCTCGCTCTGGCCCTCCCCGACTCTCTCAGCCCTCCTGTGTGTGGAGCCGGGGGCTGGGTCAGGCGCATCTACAAGATGGTGGCCCTCATGGGGGGCAGCAGTGACGCCCCTCACAACGTCTCCCTCTCCCCCACAGGAAAGTGGAAGACCTCCAGTTCCGAGTCGAGGAGGAGTCCATCACCAAAGGCAACCTGGAGGTAAAGCCCGGGCAGGTCCCAGAGGCTTGCAGGGTGCAGGCAAGGATGCGGGGCGGCCTGGCCGACCCCGCCGGGACCACTTCTGCTGGAGACTCCGAATCAGACAGGGATACCTGGGGTCATGCACCTGGCAGGGCCGGGCTGACACATCTCTGCTCCTTGGGGCTGGAGGCTGCTCTTGATGAGCGTTTTTCTCTCGTTCTGACAGTCGGGTCTATGCCTTTGCCTCAGCTTTGATTTTCAGTCGAGCAGCACAAATCAAGTCCTTTAGAACCCCATTTTTTGGAAGCTTTTCCTTAAAACAAGAAAAAGCAAAGAGTCAGTTTGGAAAAAAAAATTTCTATTTCTGCTTCTGTTCCTGCCTGTTTTAAGTTCATGGAAATTTTGTTTTCCCACCAGAAGGAGGTAAAGGCCCTGCAGGCGGCCTCTGAGAAGCTTGCCAATGAGAACGAGTGCCTGAGGACCAAGCTGGACCATGCCAACAAGGAGAATGCGGACGTGATCGCCCTGTGGAAGTCCAAGCTGGAGACGGCCATCGCCCCGCACCAACAGGCCATGGGCAAGCCGAAGGCATCCGTGAGCCAGGGCGTGGGCGCCGAGGCGGCCGAGCTGGCCGAGCTCAAGATGCAGATCGAGAGGCTACAGTTCGAGTACCAGCAGGAGGTGGAGAGCCTGAAGGCCCAGCAGGCGGCTGAGCGTGCAGCGCATGCCTCCGAGCTGCAGACGCTCAGGTCGCGGCTGTTCAGGACAGCCCAGGAGCAGAAGAACAGCCTGGAGGCCGCACGGGCCAAGCTCGAGCAGATCGAGGACCAGCACCTGGTGGAGATGGAGGACGCCCTGAACAAGCTGCAGGAGGCGGAGATGAAGGTAAAGCACCTGGACGGGTCGCGGGCCGTGTGTAGTCAGCAAGCCCAGGCCCTGGCCAATGCCACGGCACAGCTGGAGGCCACCCAGCAGAAGCTCTTGCAGCTCGATGGGCTCTGGAAGGCCAGTTCCGAAGGTCAATTGGGAATGGAGAAGCTCAGGCAGCAGCTCCAGGTGGCTGAGCGGCAGATTCAGGAGTTAGAGAATGCAAAGCGGGCCGAGAGCTGCAGGTTGGTACTCGGGCGCCCTTGCCCACTTCCACGCTCGCTCCCTGCATGCTGTGTGTCAGTCTGTTCACCGCCGTGTTCCGGCTTGGTGCTGACAGGTCTCCCGGTCACGTCCCGTGCGGTTCCCTCTGAGGGGACTGAGAAGGTGTCGGCACGATTCTGGGGCTGTCATTGGTTCCCAGCATCCGGATGCTGTGCTAGCCATGGCCCCGGCTAATCGGGCCCGTCTGGGGCCTTTCTGAAACAGAGAATTCTTCACGAGGCCAGTGAGAAAACAAGATAGGAGCCCCCAGAGCAAACTCTGCCCCCGCCCCTTGGGCCCGCTGCATACTCGCCGAGTTCGCCCAGACACTTGGACTCGAGTCAGGCCGCGAGGCTCTTTCCCTGTCCTTGCTGACCACCTGCTCGTGTGACGGGCTTTGCCCTCCTCTCCCCGGGGCGCCTCAGTTCCCAGCTGGTGCTCGATGCCTCTGAGCCTCTGAGCTCCCTCAGGGCTGGTAACGTGGCCCATCTTGGTATTTCTCATTGCCAGCCCCTCCCTCCCTGCAGCACAAGCCCCCACCCAGCCCTGCAGAGATTTCATCCCTTTCAGCCTCTAAGGGGTGCTTGGGCCAAGTCCGCCTTCCCGCATGGCCCTCTGCTGGCCATGGGCATGGACTCTCATGGTAGCCCTGACCCTGGGGAAGGACGAGACAGTGAGATCTGGGCCAAGCCGAGGAAGCTGCAGTTCTCACCAAGTTCCCTCGAGAGATGCCCTTTTCCTCCTATAGGATTGTCGTGTCAGGGACGCTCCCTCACCCCCAGCGCCCCCCACGCTGGGCACTTTGTTGGAGAAACTTCTCTGTTGGCCAAGATGGAAGGGCTGTGGGCTTTCTAGACAGGACTGACAGACATAACAGAAGGGCCCTGAGACCCCCGGGAGTTCCTCTCAGGAATCAGGACTCCTTGGCTGGCATTCCAGAAACACCGGCTGAAACAAATGGAATCAATTCCTAGGACACAGCAGGGGATAGCTGACCCACTTGTTCGCATCAAGATGTAACAAACGTCAAGTTCTGGTGACTGCTGTCTAGTGTATTAGAGGGTCTTCATTTTAAATTTCATATTGAAACCCCTCAAACTTTTAAAGTCACAGAAAAGAAACTACAAGAAAGTAAATCTTGGGGGCCGGAATGATAGTACAATGGGAAGGGCATTTGCCTTGCATGCGGCCCACGTGGGTTCGATCTCCATCATCCCATAGGGTCACTGTCATTGTCACTGTCCTCCCGTTGTTTATCGATTAGCTCAAGCGGACCCAGTAGCGTCTCCATTGTGACACTTGTTACTGTGTTTGTCATATCGAATACGTCACGGGGAGCTTGGAAGGCTTTGCCGTGCAGGCGAGATACTCTCGGTGAGCTGGCCGGGTTACTGCCAAGGAGAAATTCCTGAGCACTTAGGGTGACCTAAAAGGACAAAAGAGAAAAAAAAAAAGATAACCTTTTCTTCCCTTCCTCCCCTCCCTTTCCCTTTCTTCCCTGTTTCCTCCCTCCCTCTTTCCTATGCTTAGCCTCCCTCCTCCCTTGCTTACTTCCCCCATTGGTGCTGCAGTTCCAACTCGGGCCTGGTGTATACTCCAGTCCTTTGTGCCGTCTCCTCGCCCCTGGAAAGTCAGTCTTTCTCAAAGGCTTTCTTATTTTCTGGTCACTCCAAAGTTAGGTCTAGAAAACGCCTCTGTTTGGGCTGTTTCAATAACCACTAGACAGTTATCACCAGAACTGCCGGCGCCAAGGCCTTGGCTTCACGAGCTTCAGGCAATCACACTCACCTCACGCCTCTGTTCTTCGGGGTTGTGTTGGGTCATGGGCTTCTCATACGTGTTTTCTGTTTTGTTTTCCCCTTCCCATTCCTGTTTGTCTCCTTGGTCCATTCACTCCATCCTTGTGACTCTGGTAGGCCGATAGCCTGGCCGAAGAGCTGCAGGGGAAGGGGCTAGCGCTTCGTAGTCTTCAGGAGAACTTGAACGAAAGCGGCCGAGCTGAGGGGCCGTGTGTGTGCGCGCGTGTGAGTGTGCATGTGTGTTTTTTGTGTGCATGCTGGTGAGCAGAGCAGAGGGGCCGTGTGTGTGCGGGTGTGTATGTTTGTGTGTTTGCGTTGTGTGTGTGTGTGTGCTCATGTGTGTGCGTGTGTGCTGGAAGCGGGCAGGGGGCCGGCGGCTGACGGTGGCCCCTGGCTCCCCGCAGGAGGAGAAGGTGGACGTGAGCCGCAGCCAGTGCCAGGCTCTGCAGGCCGAGCACACCAAGGCCAGCGTGGAGAGCCAGGGGCAGTACGAGGAGGCGCTGCAGGCCCTGCAGAAGCTGCTGCTGCAGGCGGAGGAGAAGCTGCAGGCAGCGGAGGCGGAGAACGGGAGCCTGCTGCGACAGGTGGCCGAGCTGAAGTCGCAAGCCGATAAGGCCAAGGTGGGTGGGCGCAGGGCAGCACCGCGGCTGATGGCGGCCGTCTCGGGGTCGGGCTCTGTTGGGGGGCCTCGGCCTGCATCCGCAGACACTTCCCCCACCTGGCGGCGGCTGTGAGAGCAGGAAGGGGGTTGCTCCCGGGGCCCCCGGCAGAGCATGCGGAAGCCCAGGGACCCCAGCTTGGGTTTTCCGTTTTGTTTTGAGCTTGTTCAGTAAGTTCAGGCCTTCGTGTTTTCACTTGATTGCTCAAAGGCATTTTTTAGTGTGTATCAGAGAAATGTTAAGGTTTGAGGCTCAGTGGAGAGAAATAGAGCGGCTGGAACTAGTGCAGCAAGAGGGCACTTGCTGTGCACGTGACCCACTGGGGATCCCCAGCATCCCCCATGGTCCCCCAAGCAGCCAGGAGGAAGCCGTGACCTCTCCGGGTGTGAACCCCAAAACAAAAAGGAAAAGAATGTATACATAACATGTACCTATGTGTCCATCTTTATATACATACAACAAGTGCATTTGAATACATATGTACGTATTTGGATACATTTTTAGTTTTACATGCTTTATATCATGTATAGTTTATATATTAATGTGTATGCGTATACATATATGTGCTTGTATGTATATGTGTGTATACATATCTATAAGCCAATGGAAAGAAAACGGAAGCGGGGTTACATCAGAGGAAACCAGGGCTGCTGAGTGGCGGCCGTGGCCTGTGTGTGTGTTGGTGCCCGGCCTCTTTCAACCACGCACCACAGCCAGGGCTACGTCTCCTCTCTGGACCACGTGCACGGCCCAGTTCTGTGGCCAGCAGCGTCGTGTGCATGCTCAGGTCAGTCCCATTCCGGTAACATGGCCGTCAGCGGTCAGCTTCCCAGCACATGCCAGTAGCCTGCTGCGGCTCATGACTGCTGAGCTGGACAGAGAAGATAGCCCTTGCTGCAGAAAGTTCTGGAAAGTACATGGCGGTTCAACTGTGGTGTGCATTGAGACTCAGAACTGAAAACACACAACCCGTTGCTGCCGGGCAGGGAGAGCAGGTGAGGGAGACCCTGACCCGTGTGCGGCCAGTCCTCCTGGAGCCCCTCGGACCCTCCCAAATGACTGCAAACACTGCCCTCCCATTGCTCATCGATTGGCTCGAGCGGGCCCACTAATGTCTCCATTTTGAGACTTGTTACTGTGTTTGGCAAGCAAAAACTGTTGGCTTCAGTCTCCAAAGCTTGGTGGATTCGTCTGGATTTTCTATAAAGTGGATAACTTTTGGGACTAAGTCCATTTCCTGCCTCTGTTTGTCCCTGTGAAAATCGTTTGACAAGCAGTGGTTGCTTTTCCCTTCCCCTCCTGCACAAAGTTCCAAAACAAAATACTTTTTGTAGTTCTTTGAATTGTATTGAAAACTAGTTTTTGAATGCATCCCTTCTAGGACAGAGTGATGGATTTTATAATAGAAGAATTGAAGTGGGGGGAAAAATCTTATGCCCCAATGTCAAGATCCAACTGTACTTACACCTTCCGGGGAGCTGTCAGGAAACATTTCAGACGGCATTTCAAAAATCAAATCGGCTGATAGTAGAATGGGTAGGGTACTGCCTTGTACTCGGCCAACCCGGGGTTGATCCCCAGCATCCCGTATGGTCCTCCGGCCCTGCCAGCAGTGATCCCTGAGCACAGAACCCTGAGCGAGACCCGAACACCAGCAGGTGTGGGGCCCCCATCCACAAAATAGGCAGGTAGTTATGTTGACCCTAAGAACCTAACTGTGTTTGAGCCTCTCCATCCTGCGTGTGTGTGCGTGTGTGTGTGTGTGAGTGTGTGCACGTGCGCGTATACACGCGTGTGCAGGTAAGACTACTCTGCCATTTTCATTTCTGGTATTTAGGCCACATGAAGTGCTTGGCTTGCTTGTGCCCACTTGATCTCATTCTTGTTTCCATTCTTCCCCGCTTTTTGTTTCTGCAGTCCTTAACTTGCTTATTAAGCTCGGCCAAAGAAGAGATGGAGCTGATGTCAGAGGATCGCAGGGCTCTGAGGTCAGAGAATGAATTGCTGGCGAAGGAGAAGCTCTGTCTGAAGTCCGAGAGAGGGTGGTTTCAATTGCAACTCAGAGAAGCGGAGGCCAAAAACTCTTCGCTGCGGGAAGAGCAGAGGAAGCTCTGGCTGTTGAACCAAGCGATTCGCTTGGATAAGGAGAAGGTCATCGAGGCCAGGTGGGCCGCGGAGAAGCTCTGCCAGCAGGAGCGGCTGGACCGAGAAGCCCTCGAGGCGGAGAAAGAGAAAGTGCTGGAAGAGGGCAGGGCGGTGCAGGAGGAGCTCCAGAGGGTGGGCGCGGAGAAGGACGCACTGCAGGTCGCCAAGCTGGGGCTGCAGGCCCTGGTGGAGGAGCTGCAGATGAGCAAGAGCAGCCTGGTGGCCGAGTGCAAGAAGGGCCTGGAGGAGAGGGGCCAGCTGGAGGAGCATGTCAAGAAGCTGGTTCTGGAGAACCTATCCCTGGCCAAGGACAAGGACAACATCATCCAGAAGCTGCAGTGCTCCTACGAGGAGCTGGCTCGGGATCAGAAGTCGCTGGTGCAAGAGATCGAGGAGCTAAAGGCTGAGAAGGAGGAGGCCGCCCGCGTGGAGTCGGCCCTGCGTGAGCAGCTGAACAGCCTTGGCGCCGAGAAGGAGCTGCTGGGCCAGAAGGCCACTAAGCTCCAGCGGCAGCTGCACTGGCTGCTGAAAGACCAGGCGCTGCTGGAGGCGCAGCAGACCGAGCTGCTGGCCGAGCGGGAGGCGTCCCTACAGGCCCTGGTCTCCCTGGAGGACACCAGGAACACCAACGCGATGATGCAGAGTAAGGTGGGTGATGGTAGTGACCAGGGCTGTGTAGGCCCGGCCTCAGCCCTGAGAGAAACCATATCCTGGGCCATAGTGATAGCACAGCGGGGAGGGCGTTTGACTTACACACCGAATTCCCAGGTTCAATCCCTGGCATCCCATATGGTCCCCTGAGCACCGCCAGGAGTAATTCCTGAGTGCAGTGCTAGGTGAGCCAGTGCCCTCTGACCTCACAGCCACACTTTCCTGGGCTCGAGTGACTGCTGACAGCCTGAGCTGTTCCACCCTAGCCAGGAGTGATCCCTGAGCACAGAGCTAGGGTTTAGTCCCTACCCCACCGGGTGTGGCCCCCAAACAAACCAAACTGACTACCCACAAAGGTTCTAGATAAGCATGTATACATACACAGACATGTATATATGTATATATGCGTGTATGCTTCAAAAGAGTCAGGGAATATCTACCATTTAAAATATCCGAGAATGATGCCAGAGCAATAGCATAGCAGGTAGGCTGTTGGCCTTGCACATGGCCAACCCAGGTTCCATCCCCGGCATCCCATATGGTCCCCGAAGCACCGCCAGGAGTACTTCCTGGGTGCAGAGCCTGGAGTCACTCCTGAGCAACGCCGGATTGTGACCCAAAAAGCCCCCTCCCCAAATTAATTGGTTCATTAAAATAACAGAAGCCAAAAAGAGGGAAGCTGAGGAAGGAGGGGCTGTGCTCCCCTGGCGCCCATGAGAACCAGGGGCCTCGCACATGCTGCCGGAACCCCACCCCCACACGCTCCCAGCACAAGAGGTGATGCTTAAGGAGTGAGAGGCCCCATGGACAAGGAAACATCCCTTCAGTCAAGGGGTCATGTCCTTGCCAGAGCCCTCCAATGCCCTTCCTCTTGCTGCTCTCCCAGAACCTGGGCTTCGCGCTCCCATCACATTGGCAAATCTTCACTTTGCCAGAGTTGAACACCACTTTGGAGCGCTTCTTCCCTGCCAGGAAGGTTCAGTCGCAAATGGAAATGCCCACTAGCATGTGGCTGTCCCAGCCTCATTGCGCATGCTCTAGGCCCAGAGCTGGGGGAGTCTGGTCCTCTGGGCCGCCTTCCTGCTTCTTGCTCCTGTCGAGGGAGACAGCTGGGTGGGGTCCTCCGGGGTTTGCACACTTGGCTGCAGTCCAGTGCCCGCACCTACCATCACCAGGCTCGGGTCTGGCCTGCAGCAGGAGTCAGCCTTGGGGCCTCCTTGATGTCTCTCCTTCCCCAACCCCCCTTCCATCCCACCCGGGTCTGCAGCGCTTTATCCTTTGAATCCTCTCCAAGGAAGGGGACCATCTGGGTCCCAGTGCCCTGAGGAGTTCCCGCACACCCTCACTTCCTGCACTTCTGCACTTAACAGTGGGCTGAAGTGAACTTTGCACGTGGGCTGTGCAGGTGGACCCTGTATGGGCTTGTTGGGAACTGAACATTTCCATGTTTTGTTTTGTTTTGTTTTGTTTCAGCTGGAGGAAGAGAGATCTGTGTTTCTTGGCTGTAGTGTGGGATGGCCTGGGCACTCTCAGAGACTGGCCATCAGAACTTGCCCTGAGGGAGAAAAAGAATCAGTCTGTTTTTCTGGTTTTATTTACACTTTCTTTGGGGGCCACACGTGGCGATACTCCAGGCTTCCTCCTGGCTCTGCACTCATGAATCACTCCTGGCTGCTCTCCGGTGGCCCCAATAGGATGCCAGGGATCAAACCTGGGTTGGCTGCGTGCGAGGCAAGCACCTTTCCCGCTGTGCTATCACTCAGACCCAATGCGCCCGCCAGTTTTCAAGTGAAACATGAATGTTTGTGCCTACAGTCATGCTTACTTTTGTAAAGTGGGATTTCCCCCCGCCCCATTCATTTGAAAGAAGTGAGTCTGTCTTTGTCTCCCTGCTCTTAGAGGAACCAAGGGGTACCAGCATCTCCTCCTGGGGTCTTCCCTGGGCACCCGGGAGCTTGCGCTCAGGAAGGGAAAGGGGAGCTCTGGCTGCCTCCAACCCTGGGGCGGGGACTGGAAGCGGGGCCCAGCCTCCTCTGTGGCGGGCTCCCATGGCTCCCGCAGATGGCTCACCGTCTCACGCTCTCCTTGAACACAGATTGATTTCCTGAATTCCGTGATTGTGGACCTCCAAAGAAAGAATCAGGACCTCAACATGAAAGTGGAGATGATGTCCGAGGGGGCTCTCAAAGGGAACGGGGACGACCTCAACAATTACGACAGCAACAACTTCGGCCCGGCCACCTCATTCTCTGCACTGTGCAGAAATCTCCAGCAGTTCCTGGATTAGATAGCAAGTACTTGTGAAACACCTAAAATAACCAATTTACTGTCTTTACAAAGTTTACTTTTTTTCCACTGTGGTTTTAGATGAATGTATGATGAGAAATTCAACATTAATAATTTTGGATTTTCTTATCAGAAAAAATTAAATGAAGGACCTGAACCATCAGAAGGTGATCATCCAGTCTGAATGTATTTATCTTCATTTGTATGTTTTCTAGTTCTGTAAAACGTGATAAATAATGTATCATCAGGGCTACATGTATTATAAGAACTTCTATAATTGTATATATGCTTTTGATGTATTTTCCTCTGGAGATTATCAAGTGTCTCACCAGTGAAAGATTGTAATCCATTGACATTTTGAGTAATAAACACGATTGAAATTGTTTCACAAACTATGTAAAGCAGTATTAAAATTTGAGCAAACAATGTTCTATATCTACTTGAATAAAATTATTTCCTTTTTGCCAGTGATAACTGATTATTCTCCGGTTTATTTATAAAAGATTTTTGGCTAGCAATCAAGAACTATAGAGTCAAATAAGTCAAAGAGTTGCTACAATGGAATTCTGATACACCAATTTCTTTTAGTTTCTTTATGTTTGTGCCACACCTGGTGATGTCTTAGGGATTATTCATGGCTCTGCACTCAGGAATCACTCCTGACAGTGCTTGGGCAGACTATACGGAACGTCAGAGATTGAAGCCAGATTGGCCAAAGCACATGCCCTACCAGCTGAACTATTGCTCTGTGCCTGTATACCATTTTCTTAAAAGTGTTTATCTTGGGCTAAAGAGGTAGTACAGTGAGTAGGGTTCTTACCTTGCATGTGGCTGATCTGGGTTCAATCGCAGGAATCTCATCCAGTCATCTGTGCCCTGGTAGGAGCAGTCTCTAAGTGCAGAGGCAAGAGTAAACTGTAAGAAGCACTGGGTTGGGGGTATGGTGCCACCAGCAGGTCAGTCTGTAGCTGTGAGGCAAGTGCATCAGCAGCCTGATGGCGCCTTCAGACTTCCAGGTACCCCCAAATTGCTGCCATGCCTTGGGTCATACCCCAAAAACGTGGGGCAGAGTTTACCAAGAAAGTAAACAGGCAAAAGTTACATACATAGCACAGATGGTAGGGCGTTTGCCCTGCACGCTTCCTACACGGCCAACTAGAGTTTGATTCTTCCGCCCCTCTCGGAGAGCCTGGCAAGCTACCTAGAGTATGTCACCTGCATGGCAAAGCCTGGCAAGCTACCTGTGATGTATTCGTTATGCCAAATACAGTAACAAGTCTCACAATGTTTCTGAGGAAAATTGATAAATTGATGAACAATGAGAAGACATTGACAGTGACATAAAATAAGAAGGGAGCCTGAGGCTAGTCAGGGTCGAATACACAGTATCCCACTGTTTCTTTCCTTTTGTTCCCACCTGCAGTGCTCAGGGCACGACTCTGGGGGTGCTGGGGGCGTGGTTCTGTGGCCTGTGAGGAAGGCTGCGCTCCTGCTCCTCCTGCATCTCTCAGCCTCCTGCCGCCCCTGCCTCCCGCAACCCTCCTCCCAGTTAAAACTGTGAGTTCCGGGGGCGGGGTGGGTGACTCTGGTGCCTGATCCAGGAGCTTGGAATCAAATCCGTGGACTCAGACCTGCAAGGCCGGTGCTCCGCCGCCCAGTTACACCCCTGCCCCCCACCTTTATCTATTTAGCTTGCCCACTCCTCCCATCTTGTTTTTTTTCAAAATATTTTGTTTGACGTGCACACCCTGGATCTCGAGTCCAACCCCTGGCTCTGCGCTCAGGGTCACTCCCAAGTCCCCTTGGGGCGTCCTTAGGGTGCGGGGGGGGGGGTGGATCCTGGTAGGCCTCGTGCAAGACAAGCGCCCTCCCCGCAGTAAATCGATTCTAACCCCGATGGACATCGCTCGGATGGAAGATGCCTGGGACCCCACAGGCCTGTTTGGATGCCTCGGGCCCCTACGCAGCGGTTCACCCATTCCCTGCTGGCCGTCTGCGGTATCGCAGTTCGGAGCCAGTGTGGTCTCTTTGCCGCGGTGCGCCCACCCACTGCTGGCCGTCTGCGGTATTGCAGTCTGGAGCGCGTGTGGCCCCTTTGCCGTGGTGGTCCCGCCCCCTGCTGGCCGTCTGCGGTATCGCAGTATGGAGCGTGCGTTCAAGGTGGGAGGTCTGTGAGTTGCGTGTGCGCCTGCAAACCCACCCAGCCTGCCTCACACGGGTGCAGTCGCTGAGCCCACCCCTGCTTGCACCTACGGGAACCATAGTGACATTATGGACCTGAAAGGAGGAGACACAGGATGGAAGGACTCTTCCGTGTCTTTGGGCTCATAGATACCAGGAGTAACAGTGACACTCTCTGTGACTGTCCACAGCGCCCCAGCTGCCCAAAGCTCACCGTGGTTGTCGTAGACCCTTTCAACAATCATTTATACTCTTAGAAACATGGGGCCGGAACGATAGCACAGTCAGAGGATTTAATCCTGACTCTGCATTCAGAAGTCGCTCCTGGAAGGCTTAGGGCACACCTGTGGGATGATGGGGCTCTAGCTCCAGACAGCCTCGTGCAAGGGAAACCCTCTACCCAATATGCTCTCTCCAGAACCTTCCTACTATGGTTCTTCCTTCCTTAGGAAGGGTTCTTTGGATATTGTTTTTGTATTTTTTTCTTTTTTGGTCAAAACTGCCCAGCTCGGGGGTTCTTCCTGGCTCCGCACTCAAGAATTACTCCCAGCGGTGCTCAGGGGACACTATGGATGCTGGAAATCAAACCGGGGTTGGCCGCGTGCAAGGCAACCCTCCTCGCTGTACCATGCTCTGGGTCCAGGCTCTGCAGAAGCGTCTTGAAGATTAGGGGTTAAGAGTCAGCTGAAGGGTTGCAGCAGAACCTAGAAAGGGAAGCCGTCTGAGCCCTGCCCTGTTCTGGCTCAGCTACTTCCCATCCTCTCAAGTCTCCACGCGTCCCCCAGCTCAGAGGCTCTCTCAGACCAGACAGTCTGAGTGTTCTGGAGCTTCAGTACATAGGCCCTTGGTGAATTATTGGGTCAAGCCCTGGGCAAATCCGGGGAGGTCTGGAAGATGCAACCTTTGTTTACTTTGGTTTCCCTTGACAAATGACCTTCACAACCTGAGTGATTTAGCGACTTTCCCAAAAGTGCTTCCTTCACAGAACCAAGAAAACTTCCCAGGGCTGGAGAGATAGTATTGGGTGAAGGTGCTTGTCTTGCTGGTGACCCTGAGTACAGAGCCAGAAGTAGCCTTGAGCATGGCTGGTGTGCCCCAAACTCCCTCCCCACGGAAACCAATCAGACAACAAAAGAAGCAAAGATAAATTAGAAAAAGCCCTTGCTGGGGTTCCCTGTGCTAGGAATAAGGGTAAATAAAGAATACGATTTTGTACTATAAATCACGGTATCAGGGAATTAGCTAAACAGGTTGGGGTGCAGGCTTGCTTCCCAGTATTCATGGTCCCGGAGTATAGCCGGGAGCAGTGCTTGAGCACTAAGTTGGGAGCTGCCACGAAGGACTGCTGGGGGTGGCCACATATTCTGGCCACACCACTGGGAGCTGTGGGGGGGTGTATGTCAGTATTAGAAAGGAGAGAAAGCACTGGGGCTTAGTTGGTGATTTGGGGGAAGGGTCTGAGGCATTGGAGGCTGTGGTTGGTATCAACCTCAGGGGATTGGACCCATGCCGGTATGTGCTCTACGATGAAGCCACACACCCTCATCTCTCAATACACTTATCTGGTTCTAAGGAGAGGCGAGACTCAGCTATCACTGCAAAGAAGCAGCAGTTTCCGATGTTGGCGGCGATAGAGGGAAAGTGGGCTTTCATCGGTGGCACTAGGCTCCTGTTGGTTTGTTGCTGGTTTGCTGCATTTTTCCAGAGTCTCAGGGAAACATGATCTGGGCTTGGAAGTCTGTGGAACTGTTTATGTCTAAAAGAACAGCATGAGCCAGAGAGAATTACAGAAGGCAGGACTCTTGCTTTGCACGCAGCTGACCTTGGTTCTATCCCCTGCACCATATGTGATTCCTGCCAGGAGTGATCCCTGAGCACACCCTCCCAAACAAAACAAAACAAAAACAAGACCAAATATGTTTTCTCTGTCAAATAGATTGTTTTCTTCTAGGACCTCAAGTAACTTTGATAGGTCATTGTAAAAAGTCCAAATCTGGGGTAATTTTTATTCTTGGCTGTAGTTGAGGAGTGGTAAAAGTTTCTTTTTCTTTTTTATTGGGGGGGAGGGGAGTGAGCACTCGTGGCAGGGGTCAGAGGACCTGGGGATGGAACCCAATTGATGTGTTCAAGGCCATCACCTTACTGAATGTACTGTCTCTCTAGCTCCCAAAGATTTTTCAGAACTTCTAGGACCTCAAGTAACTTTTGCACCAAGGAAGTCATATGTAGGCTGGAGAGATAGAACAGGGCTTAAGGTTCTTGCCTTATGTGGGCCCAATCCCAGGTTCATCCCCCACGCCTCGTGTGGCTCCCTGGGCATCACCAGGAGCAATCCTTGAGCACAGAATGAAAAATAACTCTTGAGCACTGTGTTGTCAAGTATGGCCCCCTCCACACCCCAAGTGGAAACAAAATGAAGTAGTAGATAGATTGTCAGCAGGAACTCTGGGCAATGACTTCTTGGGAAGTAATGAAACCAAGATGGGGTTTGAAGAAGTGACTCTTTCTCCAACTCTAAAGTAGAAAAACATATTATGGCTGGACCCACTTTGTGGACACAGGAACTAAGGCCTGATAAGACTCTAACTGGCACCAGCCCAGGTCCAGTAAAGGCTGGACCCCTTTTTGGAAAGAAGATACAGCAGAAGAATGTGATAGGAAATGAAGATGGACCATCGAAAGTTTCAAATGTTGGGGCCCAAGCTATAGCACAGCGGGAGGGCCCTTCCTTGCACAGGGCCGACCCCAGTCCGATCCCAAGTGGTCATCCGAGCCCCACTAGGAAAGATTCCTGAGTGTAGAGTCAGAAGTAAATCCTGAGTACCACGGGGTGTGGTCCCAAAACAAAAACAAGCAAACTGAAAATTAAACAAAACAAAACAACAATACCAAGGTATTTTTTAAATCTAGGGTGAAAATCCCACACATGGTGGTTTGAAAATCCCACACCTATACAATCATTCCGCAAGGCCAGTATCGTGCCCCCAATACTGTGTGTGTGGGGGGGATGGGGTGGGTAATATAGGGTGGCTGACTAAAAAAGCCCAAGTTCTCTCTTGAATGCATCTCTCTCTCATTCACTTTCTCTCTCTCTCTTTCTCTCTCTCTTCTCTCCTCTCTTTCTCTCTCCCCTTTAACTCTAAGTTAAAACTTTTTGACTTCACTATTTGTCTCTTTCTGAAATTCTTTTCTGGGAGGGAAGGCAGCATTCCTGGTCAGACTTAGGCCTGCCTTTCTTTTCCTGCCAAGAGTAACCCCTCTCTTCACTCTGGGCCCCGCAGCTCCCAGAGCTGGGAGGTCGGGCCAAGTCCCTTGTAAATTCTTTCCCGCAACACTAATGCTATAGAAAATCAATGGTGATATGTGTGGTGTTGGAATTATGTGTCCGCGAAAGCACCAAGAACAGTGTTGTGAATCATAGAACTATCATCCAAACAAATATATTACAAATAATATAGTTTTGGGCTGGAGTGATAGCACAGTTGGTAGGGCATTTCCTGCCTGTGCATGCAGCTGACCCAGGTTTGATTCCCAGCATCCCATAGAGTCTCCTGTGCACTGCCAGGAGTAATTCTTGGCATTTATGATGAAAACCCTCTCCAAAATGGGGATAGAGGGGACTTTCCTCAATATAGTTAAAGCCATTTACCACAAGCCTACAGCAAGCATCATCCTCAATGGGGAAAAACTGAGAGCCTTCCCACTAAGATCAGGGAGGAGACAAAGATGCCCACACTCTCCACTGCTTTTCAAAATAGTACTGCAATGGCGGTTAGGCAAGAAAAAGATATTAAGAGCATTCAGGTAGGAACGGAAGAAATCAAGCTCTCACTATTCGCAGATGATATGATACTATACTTAGAGAATCCTAAAACCTCTACTAAGAAACTCCTAGAAACAATAGACTTGTATAGTAAAGTTGAAGGCTATAAAATCAATACCCAAAAGTCCATGGCTTTCCTATATGCAAATTGTGAGAGAGAAGAAAGTGACATGAAAAAAACAATCCCGTTCACAATTGTGCCCCAGCAAATCAAGTACCTAGGAATCAGCTTAACTAAGGAAGTAAAGAACCTGTACAAAGAAAACTACAAAACGCTACTTCATGAAATAAAAGAGGACATGAGAAAATGGAAAGATATCCCCTGCTCATGGATCGGGAGAATTAACATTGTCAGAATGGCAATACTTCCCAAAGCATTGTACAAATTCAGTGTGATCCCTATAACGATACTCATGACATTTTTCAACTAAAAATGGAGCAAACACTCCTGAAATTCGTATGGAACAATAAGCCCCGAAGAATAGCTAAAGCAATTCTTGGGAAAAAGAAAATGGAAGGAATCAGCCTCTTTAACTTCAAACTCTACTACAAAGCAGTAACAATTAAAACAGCATGGTACTGGAACAAAGGCAGGGCTGCAGACCAGTGGAACAGAGTTGAATATACTGACAGCTTCCCCCAAACATATGATCATCTAATCTTTGAGAAGGGAGCAAGAAATGTGAAGTGGAGCAAGGAAAGCCTCTTTAACAAATTGTGCTGGCAAAACTGGACAGCTACATGCAAAACAGTGGGCTCAGATCTCTGCCTAACACCATGTACAAAAGTAAGATCAAAATGGATTAAAGACCTCAACATCAGACGGGAATCCATAAGTATTGTCAGAATGGCATAAGGTACATTGAAGACAAGGTTGGCAAAACCCTCCATGACATCGAAGCGAATGGTATCTTCAAAGATGTCATGCCACTGGTCAAGCAAGTGAAAACAGAGATAGATAAATGGGACTACTTTAAACTAAGAAGCTTCTGCACCTCAAAAGAAACAGTAACCAAAGTACAAAGACAGTCTACAGAATGGGAAAGGATATTCACCCAATAGACATCCAACAAAGGGTTGATATCAAGGATATACAAAGTACTGGTTGAACTCCACAAGAAGAAAACATCGAACCACATCAAAAATGGGGCGTCGA